TTTTATACTATCTTGCCAACTCTGAAGGAATGTATAAACTTCCTCCACGTGAGTAATGCATCATTCATTATAAATTACGACGCCTCTGACGTCATATTTCATCAATCAATTCAAAAGTCAAACAGAATAAATTAATGTACATATAAAAATACCAAATATATTTGACCTTTTATAATTTTCAGTGCAACGTCTTAGCAGTGGCTTGCAAAATCGATTTTTTTTTCTTTATCAACCTTTATGGAGTAATCGGATTGGAAATCACTCGCCTCGGTAGCAAATATGTTGCGAATGTAATAAGAACTAAGTTTGATGTTTTTCATTGTGCGAAACAACACCAAAGATAATACCAGCACAATGTTACAAAAGTGCAGGGCCTGGGTATGCACGTTGTGTTTAAATCTATGGACAATAGAAAACAGTAATTATAGAAATACTGATTTTTATATATTCACGCGCATTACTCATGAATTTTTAGCGCTTGCATGCAAGCTCGTGGTAAATTAGGGGTTCTAGTTAAATATAACTATTTTGAACGGGTGTAGTGCGTTTATATTTTTTTTCATGACATAGTTAACAGATGACTGAAAATTCACAGAATCTCTTTATACACAACTTTGGTTGTTTTTCCTCCAGAGGCCAATATAAACAAACCTGCAGCACTACTGACTCGCGAAAAATCTATGTACAGCTATCTGTGGGAGAAACAACCAATTCTTAAATCCACATCAAAACTTAGAGCGTCTGTCGCTATGACTTATTTATCGTCATGGCGAAGCAAGTAGCCATATGCAAGTAGTATACGTGGTATTAGCACAACTTCATCTGTACTACAGCCAGTTAGACACTTTGCTTTGATAATATTTTAGGTTAGTTCCATTAAAATGTGAACTACTGCAAAATATTTGCGGTTGTTTTGGTTCTAGTTGAGATACAGGTAGACCGCATTCACAGAAAAATATGTCATCAATCGCAAATACAGCTTTTTATGGAGCAAAGGGAACTATTTAACCCTCTGTCGTCGGTTGAAGTGACTGTATCTTGCACATTGTTCCCCAAAGTTTCGTAAAGTGTCTCCAGATAGATTTTTTATACTTTTCCCATATTGTTAAGAGTATAAGACCACAAAGTACCAACATTATAGCGAACAAATGACGAAGGGAACGGAAACTATGACTAACCATGCTTAGTTGCTTGAAAGTAACACGTAAAAGTAATTTAATTGGGTCCTCTAAACGTTTGGAGCAACAGGCGCTAAAACTAACATCCTCCATTATTGGGACAAACTGTAAACACTCTACCTAGATTAGCAAAGTGAAATATGTAAAAACTTATAAGCTGATGGCATTAAAGTTATTAGTAAATGCTCAATAGACTTAACGACTTTTGCTAATACGTTGTTCCTTTAAGTGTTATAGTGATGCTGAGCTCTTAAAGGTCCACGCCAGATGTTTCGAATCTTGGTATTTTAATCGCGTTACAGAAAATATTCAGACTAAACAACTTTGCTAATTTCTCAGTCTTGTATATGCTATAGTGTTGGTGGGAGTTCCAAATCATACTTTTCAGATCCTTTATTTTTATAAGTCAACAGAAAATGCTCATTACTTTGAACAACTTCTATTAAGACATCGTTTCCGTATATGGTATAGTGCAGCTCTTATAGTTCCACATCAGATGTTTTATATCTTCAAATTTTAATCACGCAGTAAAATATGCTTATCATGTGGAAGAATTTTTGCAATGACGCCATTTTTGTATCTCATAATGTTTCGTTGGCCTCCTGGGATTCCACATAATAAATCCATTGAGTAGTTACGTAGATTAGCGTGATTAAAATAATTGAGCTATATTCTTTTGGTATTTTAATATTGCCTTGAATATTTTTTTATGAAATATAATAAATGTTCAGACACATTGTTTTTACTGTTTTAATACAGTATGGACATTTAACTTATTTCATATATTGTTCGTTTTTTTACCCCTGATTACCATAAACTACCACCAGTTTTAAAAATGGGTGTCTTGTCTCAGAAGGATTGGCCAAACAAACTCCACCAAGAAAAGTGATTGCTCCCTTTGATTTATTATTTTTTTCTATTTACATAAAGAACTAACTGTAACTTTTGATTAAAAAAATTGTCTTATGTTGCGACTCAATATCCATCCATCCATGAAAAGGATTTATGTTTTCTTTACTATGTCGTCCATTCATCAATGTAATCTTCATTGCAAATAATATTAGCTGCTAACAATAATCTATTAGTATGTTGGTAACATAGAACATATCATACGTGATAGACATTATCATATTAATATTCCCGGTGAGGCTCTGGTCTTCTCTATGGTCCAATAGAATCAACTCAAAGTAGGAGAATTTTCCATGACCCACCACGCGGGCCCGGTGTGGATTCGTAGGTGTTAATGACAGCAGATGCAGCCGGGACCAACGGCTTAACGTGCCTTAGTAAGCATGGAAATACGGAGGAGCTCGAGATGATATGTTTTTAGTCATCCACCCTATGATCGGTCATTGCTAAAATTGAAAGAACAAAATTAACAAAAACAAAAAGAAAAAACGTGTGTGTAAGATTACTTTTTATTCCCGTAGGATTAAAACATAATGTATTAAGTATGTCATATTGAACACGGAATTATTGCGAAAAATATATTATGAATGGCTTAAACGTGGTTGAAAGTCTCGCACAGAAATTCACCTCGGATATGATTAGAATTTCAAATAACATTCTGTATACACAAAGGGAACTTGGTATTTTTTTTAATTATCATAATCATCTCTGATTTTTCATTATGTTTACAAAAGGGGAAACAGAAGGAATTACTGTGAATATAAAATTCGTTTTACTGGGCAATCGTAGTTTTGAATCAACATTTTTAGCAATTCTGTTGTACAAACTAGACTAGGTTTAGTTGAAGTTAAGTTAGGCTGTTGAGCTGCGTTTTCAACTGTAAAAACAACTAAGTTAACAGAAGTAAATCTATTATTATAATTTTATACGAGTAAAATTAAATATCTTTGATTACATAGGAAATATTTAATACTCGTCAGAACAAATTTAAAGTTAAAATTGTTCTGGTTTAATTATAGAGTGGCACAACAGGATTGGAACCATTGTGTATCTCATAATTACGCACATACTTCTCCTTAACAACTCATAATGAGGTTTTAAAAGTAATTTCGTGATAATTGGACTAACCCTCAATTCTAAAGTTAATAGAGTCTGGGCGACAATTCTGGTAATGTTTACGTCTTTAATAATTGTATCTTTGTAGATTCTCAACTACTTGTATTTTACCATTGTACTATTTACTTGAAGCCCAATATTATTAGTGCAATGTCTTCCTCACTAATCAATAGTGACAGATATATTTATTATTTTGTGATCTAGTAACGAGAAGAGTGTCATAAAGGGTTGTAGTTGAAGTGCTACCGATTTTTAACGCCGATTAAGCTAACTTAAACAGAATTGTCCTACGGTAAAAGATCTGCAATAATTATCAATATAATATCGGTTTTGTTTGTTCATTAGTGAGATTTTCACGTTTGTTTACATTAAAGGTACTTACTTGTAGTACCAATAAACAATCCCCTTTCCAACAAAGACCGACTTATAAGTTTCTACTTTAGTTAGTTAAGGTAATTGTTTTGAGTAGAGAGAGTTTAATTATCTCTGAAAGGGACTAATAAATGGACCGGTATCAGATCCTATTAGTCGGAAATTGAACGAGAGACATTTACTTAAATATGACTCTTTAGATCTTTGAAAATACTGTTTTATACATTAATTTGATCAGTGCGAAATTTGTGCATTTTTTATTTTATTGAGATAACAGTACTTTCCCTAGTTTAGTAACCAATTGAAGTGGTTCTGTACAAAGTTATTTGAAACTTGATTAAATTAAGCTGTACCTTCTAATATTTTCACGCGCAATACTCATAAAAAAAGAACTGGAATGAATTTAAATGTATCTAATAGAAATAATTGTAGTTATTAATTATATTTAAATAATTGAAATAATTCTTCATAAATATACGAGACTGAAACATTTTAAAGTAGTTTTATTTGAGTTGAGATTTTCGTAAATTCATATTCATTATAGGTCCTAAATTAGTATTAATACTGCAATACAGAATTTTATTTCTTTTGTTTGAAGCTAGACAGCTTACAGTGTTCTATGCCGCTATAAAATTGTTGCGTTGTGGTTGTTACAAGGTCGGTCTTAAAATAAAACAAACACTGCACTGCTATTGCGTCGAGAATTTCTTTGTAATGATGTAATCTTAAGCGATGTTTTAACAATTTTTGTTTGTTAATAGGCGACAAAATTTATATAAAGCTATTATATTTGAAAACTGCAGGAATAAAAACACCTTCCAATACGACGTTGAGCGCAGCGCTGTTATAGCATAGGAAATAAAGGTTTATTTTATTGAAGCTGTATGCTGTGGCAGCGCTGAGATTGACGTCCAGCAGGCCAATTTTGCTAATGTTTATATAATAATTGCATTTTAATAGAGTCTCAATTACTTATATTTTGCCATTGTAATATCTACACGAAGTCCAATATTATTAGTGCAATGTCTTTCTAACAAATCGATGGTACAGACATATTTATTATTTTTGATCTTATAACAAGAACTGTGTCATGAAAGGTAGTAGTTGAGGGCTCTTGAGTTTCCATAATAGGGATGATGACAGTAAACAAAAGTCACTAAAGTAATGCATCTATGTAATGAAATGTAAATTATGGATTGCAAAAAACGTATTTATTTTTTAATTATGAGTGAGATTATTTAATATTTTAATAAAATAAAACCACAAAATACGACAATCCGCCATGTTATGTTGAACGCCAATCAGAGCGAATTACGTCACGTTCGACTACAATGACAGCTCTTCTTAGTTTCCCTCTATAGCGAGTGGATAATTTGGTTTGTTTTCATAAATATATTAAATAAAATAGAAAGTGAAAATACAAAAATGGAACCAGGATTTACAAAGGCAACCAGCACGAATTTGCCAAGAGTCGACTTGTTGATTCTAGGAGCGTTTCTAGGGTCAAATAAAGACTTTTGTTCGTCAGAATTTAGGAATGTAAAAACATCCATGTAAGTACAAATCATACAATGAAATCACTTACAAATGAATAAACATAAGACAAAATGTTTCAAAATATTATGTATACTTTCTGTTTTTCAATATACCCTTCAATGAAACTTCTAATATTACGCTTGGAGGTTATATTGCAATTATTCTTTTAATATTTACCTACCAAATACATAGTTGTAATCTGAGTTGTAACATGGTTTTCTTTATTTTAGGTCCTCCAGACCATCATATGGCGACGATGCTATAAGTTACGTCCAGGTTAAACGGGAAGGAAATCTGTGCATAGTAAAAGGCAAAATCTGCCCAGAACATAGAGTACATGCAATATTGTATGGAGTGACTTAAGTGATTGATGAACAGGAAGAGGCAGTAAAATCAATTGAATGTCATGATTGTGTGGCTTCGCAAAGAGGCAAACGTGCAATAGCATTCCTAATGTGGGTTCACCGCAGGAGTGAAGACCCTTCATGTACATCCATCGAATGCTATTGGATAAAATCAAAGCTTTCCAGGGTTGGTACTACTGTTAAATACATAACTGCCAAAGACTTATCCAAGGGTAAGCCTAGCTTATCATCAAATACAGGAGTATTCGAAAAGTTTTTAGCAGAAGGTAAGAAAAGGAAACTTACTAATTGTGAGATAATCAAATATTAAAAATATTATGTTTTTGCTGGACCAGAAAGTTTTTCTATGGACAAATTAGTGCAGAAATATAAAGAAACATCCTGTGACACATTTTTGAGCAGAGTTGTGTTAACTGATAGTGATATCAGCAATATTGAAAAAGAAACGAGAGACCAACATAAAAGCAGCTTATGGCATGAATTAAGATATGGAAGAATAACAGCTTCACGGGCGTACGAATTCAGTCGGTGCAAAACCAGTGATGGTACTCTGATTGCTGTAATATTGGGTGGAAAAATTCCAGACACAACGGCCATGAAGCGTGGTAGAATATTGGAGGATGATGTTAGAAATACAGTCAGTGCCAAATTAGGAAAAAAAAATAAAAAATGTGGTTTAATGATAGCCAAAAACTACCCTATGCTAATAGGTTCACCAGATGGGATCTGTGAAAACAGCATTATAGAAATAAAGTGCCTATGAGTGAAAAAACCTTTAAAAATTATATATGTGATGGGAAACCAAGCCAGAAGTTTTATGTGCAGATGCAATTACAAATGCTATTAACAGGGCTTAAAAAAGGTTATTTTTGTGTAGCTGATTGCAACTACAGTACTAATAAGAAAGTACAAATATTGGACATTCAATATGATAAAAAATATGTATCAGATTTTATTAATGTTATAGTTCCTTTATGGAAAGATAATATTTATCCAATACTACATCAAAGTATTTTATAATTTTTGGATTAATAATAAAAAACAATATTATAAATTTGAATTTTATTTAACAGTCTTATAGATATCCCTATAAAAAGTACATAATTAATATTTATTTAATCAATGAATCTTGTAAGTTAACTAATCCGCAGGCAATAGTGATGATATTATCAAGTACTTTCACAAGATTGAGGTTTATACAAGCATGTGGCTTTAACTTTTATAATTAACCAAACCATTTGGTGTACATGATACAAGGTACTTGATGGTGTTCCCTTTTTTGTACTCTGACCATGAGAGTGATTGATTCAAAGCATTTGAGGGCTTTTGCACCTCAATTTCTAGGCAGTCTATTATGCAACTTACTTTGTGATATTTACGCCTAAAGGCCATAGGCAAATTTTTTCTTATCGCATGACACTAGCTATACGCGGTATATTTTTTTGAAATATCTAGCTAGCGTAAGTTGTATTTATGCCAAAATAATCAGCAAGCTCTCTAAAAGGATTATTTAATCTAATTTACTTCAAATACATTAGTATATGGTCTGCAGAAATATTTGTTTTTTCTTCAATTAATTCTATTAGGAAATAACAGTTTTTAGGAACTCCAATGTAAAAGCGTGGATTTTTCACTATTTTCAGCAATGTATATTCCAATGTCTTCGATGCCTCTTGTTTTTTATCTTCTTTTATTAAGTCGCTGCTGTCCGAACTGGATTTTATTTGGAGGGATGTTATTGATGGTGACGACTGTATTTGCGTCACTGATAGTGTATTTGAAATATCACTGTCAGATTCTTCCTGAGTAACAAATAATTTCCTATAAGGATTCTGTACACTAGATGAGGTGGATGGTGATGACTTGGTAGTATTGCAACTCATTATTTTAAATGGTGATGTAGAAACAGAATGGCTAAAAGGTTTCAATGGTGATGTAACTTGATTTACTAAATTAATATTTTTTTGCACTGCTTTACTTCTGAATTTCTTTGTCATGTGTACTTGAATGCATTTATTTGCCGTCATAGGTGCATCTTGTGTAGTCATTGCATTGGATCCTGGGGTCCAGAGCGGGGCTGCTGTGGATGCAGCCGGAAAAACGCTCAGATGAGAGACTTCATGTTGTGGAAAATTTTCTTGCAAAACTGAAAATAAGAAATATTTTTAAAAAACTTACAGAATAACAACAATTCACTGACATTTTTTTAGATCAGATATATCTGTGAAAAACCTTTTTGTATGTGCATGGATTTGACATTCATGAAGAACCAATAAGATATAGTAATTAATTAACCTCCATAATCTAAGTCGTTTCCTGAAGAAATTTTCTACTTGACTCATTCTCGGTCTTTAATATTTGTATTTTTTATGAATGTCTGAATGACTGTCTTGAGGAAACAACTAAGAATATGGGGGTAAGAGTTAAGACATGACATGGGTATAATATGCCATTTCTCTGTATAATAATAATGACCACCGAGTCAATGTGTGATTCAAACAAAATTATTAAAATTAAGTTGACACCTGAACTTTCCGATGAAGACTCTCTATCTGTCCTGTTTTCTATTTCTTTCTGCAATTCTTCAATCAACTCCTTCCTTTGTTTTTTGACAATATATTGCCGTTCTATTGTATCAGCTGTTCTTTTTCTTCTGTCTGGTTGACAAGCAAATTTTGAAGGAATGCAGCCTGCTTTTAAGCGTATCTGTGACACTGATCCCATCAAGTGATACTGCATATAGTTTTCCATATCATTCGGTAACTGAGATTTAAATAAAACTTAAGTATTCTGTGATAAAACATAGAAAAAAACATGAAAGGTGAAACCTAACCTCAAAGTTTAAATATTTAACAGCGTTATATTTATAATGGTTTGGAAACTATGTGGAATCTACAAATATAAGTAAATACTTACGTCAAAGTGATCTTCACAGAAATAAAGCTGAGTATTAGGCAATATTCCTTTTATATCACGTCTTGCAAGTTTAAGCCACTTATTTCGTATTGTTTTATCATAGGGAACGAATATAAATAACTTGTCCGGGCTTTTTATAGTTGTATTAGTACACAGAGGCACTGCACAACACCTATATGGTCTCGAACTCATATTTTAGAACTTTTAAAACACAAACAATGCAAAATTAATACTGTAGCCGTACTAGCCGTCAATGTTTACGTCACAAGCGACGCCATGACAGATTGAAGCGTTTTGGCGGAAATGAAAAAAATTTAAAGTAAAATGTATTTTATTTCATGTTTATTCCTCATTTTCAGCAGAAATTTGATATACATTGTATATAATATTTATTTCTGAACCTGAAAAACCAGTTTTTCAAAATTTGTCATCATGCCTATTACCTTAACAATAGCACAATTGCAGTTCGAGGCTGTTTTTATTTTAGCTTATAGTGTTCAGCGGGCTCTTCCGTAACTCAACAGCCGGCGACTATTTTCGTGAAACGGGATTGCATTAGTCTTTCTACCTAGTCGAATCTTGTCGCATAGACTCGATTAGTGTCTGTGGACAGCTCAGGTATGCAGTACTTTGTCTTGAAACGCTTCTCCATTCTGCTTGCGCTCGTTTCTTCGATCTCCAGGCATCTCTGTCTTAGACAGACTGTCTTAGATAGAGGAGAGCCTACTAAATTCGGGCGCTTACTGGGCATTGCACGTCCCTTATCTTGTCTGGAGGTTAGGGCTCGAAGTGTCTCTGCAAGCAAGGAGTGGGCCGAAATGGTGGTGAAGTGCGCGGTAAGAGGCTTCTGCTGTTAAATATAGATATAGATGTTTTTGTGAAATAATAAAGTTTATTTTGTACCTATATCTACTATGTTTATTATTTTTCGCAGTTAACCTCAGGATTTGTTTCTTTGGTTTGTCTATAGTCATGTAGAGGTATCGTGTTTCACTCTTCACTAATGAGCTTCCCAATTGTTATAATTAGAATTGATGCAGGAGCAATCGCGGTAAAGCGGTTAGAAATTGATAAATTTTGCATTTGTTTCTATATCAGAATTTGTTTGCAACGTTGCTTTACTAAACGGCAGTATTATATCAAGGGACTTTGTAGCTGGGTTAAAAGAAAACATATTTTGTGTGAGATTTCAACAAATTCCGAGACATTGTTCCTCGTGATTGTGAAGTATTCGTGACAAACAAAAATCTAAACATACAATTTCTTATATTTATAATGATAGATAAAACGTCTGACGAAACTCACAGTTACATTTTGTTCGAAAAATAATCCTCTTTCGTGAGCGTTATGTGGGTAAGCAATCCATCTTCTCGTTGACGGGTATGGTTGGTTATGATTGCAATATTAACGCTAGCGGGTTCAAATGTTGCATGTAACTGTTTTTGAAAAGAATTAAAGCTCATATACACTCCTAAACTCTTTTTAGGAGTTTCTCAAAAATTTTATTCAATCTCCATTCATTGTATTCAATCTACTGGACGACAAATGGACGGAGCGATTGCAGAAACCTTTTTCAAATGGATCCTTTCCACGAATGCTTAAATTTTTGTATGTAATTATAATTTTAATTGTTAGCATTGTATATTTACTTCTTTTTCGTAATTTCAAATCATATTATAATCGCAAAAACAATGTAATAACACATTTATATCATCGTTATTAATATGTCTTTTCATGTCTAGTTCATGTGTTTATCAGTCTATGTATGTATATATATAGTCAGGGCTCCTTGGGAAGTTGATTTGTTTTATGTGTGTATCCATTATAAAACTATTTCAATTATGTAGTTATTGAGTATTACTTAACAGAATTCTAAACTACTGGGCTTGTTTCTTTCTTTTTAGTTTTTATTTAAGTTATTTTTTATGTATTTTTTTAGTTTTTACGCAGTCGGGTTTTTTGTTTTTCTTTTTGACTGAATGCTATAAACACAAATACTAAATATTTGTGTCAGTCGATTAAAGTATAACAATGATAGGTTACACGCAGCTACAATGTAAGTTGTATCCATGCAAGTGTGAGGTGGGTTAGTGATACATAATACATTTAAGCTATTGTTATATTTAAAAAAAATAGCTATAATGCCTCATGCCATGTCAGTTCATTAAAATGTAGTTTTTATCTTTACGAAATAACTATAAGTTTATTATTCATATAAAATAAAATTTAAATATTACAAAGGATTATAGGGTTAAGTTATTGAATAATAAATTGTATAATATAATTTAATATACCTGAAATCGTTATACGTGAATAATTTGTTATTATGCAAAAAAAATTCTCATGGCAAAACATATGTATAATCTCACTAATCCGGCACTTCGATAGATCGGCACGTCCAATAATCCGGCACCCTCCGCCCACGCCGCCCTTGCCCCTCTACACCTGTGTGCTTCGGTAACTCGCGTCGTCGCGAATAACAATCTAACCTCAAAACTTATCACGTGCTTACGTATTGGTTTCCTTCAAGTGAGAATAGTTAAAAATGTCAAATAAACGCAAACACAAGACACTAGATTTGAATAATAAAATGGAGATTTTAAAGAAGTTAGATAGTGGAGAAAACATGTGCAAATTGGCAAAAGAATATGGTGTTGGGCGCGCTACTATATATGATCTTAAGAAAAAAAGGCAAAAGATACATTTATTCCCACTGTGAAATGCTTTCTTTTATTCATTACCTATAATTTTTTCACTATAATCCAGTAATCCGAACATTCCAATAATCCGGCACCCTCCAGTTTTTAATAGTGCCGGATTAGTGAGATAATATTTTTGTTTGCTTTA